GTCGATGTCGACTCTTCACAGGACGTGTCCCGCCGGCAGGGGCAAGGACGTGCTGCTTGATTGTAACTTGCACAATAGCGCAGCACCTCGTGCAACACAGCAGGCCATAACAGCCGGGCATTCTGAGCAGCAGGAGGCCAGCGAAGGAGAGTCGCCTTCCTAAATCCAATCCGCTCGGGCTTACTTGCAGTGGACGTGCAGAGAGATTCTCACTCAGTCTCCCCTCTCTACCTCCCTTCCTGCCCTCTTTCACTCGCACACAAAAAAAGCACCCGCCGGCTTGTGCACACACAAACACACACACACACACACACACAGACACAGCCACACACACACACACACACCGAGTGCCTGCTGCGACGGTGCACCACGAGCTTGGCGCAATGCGGCCAGCACACTGTCCTGCCTTTCGTTCAATTGCGCGGCATGGTAGTATACGAGTAGTTGCTTCTTGTTGTCCAACCATCGTAGAGACTGGAACCTCGCCATCGCGGCGCAAACGAAATTTCAGCGAGGGCACCCTCCACCGGCACATGTACTTTCTATCTCAATTTGGAGGTTCTGATATGAGGCTGGGGGGGCAGAGCAGGCAAAGCCCAAATCTCATGTTAGTCTCACAGCAGGGTCGGGCAACGGCTCGGTGAAGTAGTCCAGCTCCTGCAGCATAGATTCAAGAAGCCGGCCATAGGCTCGCTGTTCCTCCTGCCAAACAGCAGCGTGGACAAGCCAATCCTCAATATCTCATTCATTCATTCAGTGGGTGTCCTGTTCCGGACGCACGGCCGCGTCCTTCCCTGGCTGCAGATCTTTTTCAGGTGTTTCCATCGTCACGTCCGGGTCAGTCCTGCGCAATCAATCATGCAGAGCTTCTTTTCAATCCTCACTCTCTTGCACAATGTTACAGCCAGGTCCTGTCATCTGCACCCTTGCGCGGCTTCTTGGGGGTGACTGTGGCTGTCACCGCTGCAGGTCCAAGTTTGAGCACCTTCCAGCTGGCAGTGGCTTCAATTTCCGACGGCCGAAGTCGAAAAGCAGGTTTCCAGTCTTCACATGACCACAGGCAGGAGCAATGCCTGGCGGATGAGAAGAGCTGTAGCTTGGCTGAAGAGGTCCTGTTCCTTTGTTCCGATTTGTTCCAATTCAAGCAGAAGGGCGGAGAACGTCCACTTCCCCTTCTGCGGCTTAGCAGCAGCCAAAAAAAGGATGCCCATGGCTGCCCGACGTCTAATTTAAAACAGTCAAGTCAAGGCTCCGTCTTCAGCAACCTGGCATGTCGCTTCTGCTCTCTGGCTTCTGATTGCACAGCATGTTGGACTCAATGAATCCCTCTCACGTCAGCATGCCAGCACTGGCAACCCGCCTCCTCCAGACCCCTGCCTCTCGTGCAATGCTATGTGCCAATTGTTCGGAAGCCGTGGCAAAGCCCTGGCCATTCCTTTGCTGACTGGTCTGTGGTGAGGCAACGGGCGACAGGAGCGACAGTGTCGCCGCATGAAGTGTGGAACACTGGAATTCAGGAAGAGCTCCGCAGCAGCGGGTTGGCAATGACAACAGCACCCTTGAGGAAGTTGTCCATGTGCATAATCACGGCAGACCTTGATGCCCGCAACATATTTTGGCAAGGAGCGACATTCCACAAACTTGGGACCTTGCCGGTTGGCTTCCAAGTCGGCAATAGGGTCCACAAATTGTCCTACCACATTGCGATATCATGTCGGTGATGTGAAGCTTCCAAACGTGGTGTGGCATTCCATCAATACCTGTTCGAAACCGATTATTACAGTGATTAGAGAAGAAGCAGCTGCGTCAACCACAAAAGCTGCAAAGGCCCCATGCTGCAACCATCTGCAAGTTTCTGATGTATGCACATGAACAGTGCTAGCGCCTTCAGCAAAGGTCCAAGGTGTCTCTTGGGAGGAAACACTGGCAACGCGCGGCCGCTGTTGGAGGAAGACGCAAGCGGTCGAGTCCGGGAGATTTGGAAGCACCAAGAACCTCGTGGAAGCAGCAACAGGCCGCTTTGACATCCGCGAGTCCATGCGAATTGCAGCCCAGCAACTTAACAACTGATGCATGCCCAAAAACCTCGCAAGCAGCAACCGTGCTTGCTTGCAGCACGGCATCGTCGACAGTCGTTAGTCACTAGCCGTGGTGAAACCTTGCTTTTGTGCAGCATGCGTATTCCATTAATCCGGAAATCATACGGCATGTGCGTCATTACTAAAACCTATATTACTAACTTGATAAATTATGAAAACGTATTGACAATTGGCGCTTTTCTGCCAGTCGAGCCTTCTAAAGGGCCCGGAACGGCCTCTCTCCTCTCTATTTTTGGTCTCCTGTCGAGCCTTCTTGCCCTTTAACTCTGCCAAAGACGGCCACGTACCTTGGCCTTGCCACTGAACCTGGCGGCTTCGGCGGTGACAAAAACCCACAACTGCTAGGGCACAGTCAGTGATGATCACCGTCAGCGTCCAGCCTTGACCGCCTGGGCCGCTGCGCGATAAGCGTCTGGCAGCTGGGAGGATTCGGAGAGCTCCTGACGGCAGGCCAAAAGAGACTTCCCGAGTCGCTCAGAAATCTGGCAGCATGAGGCCACGAAGCTCCTCCCGCCAGAATGCTAGGATGGCATCTCTGAAATCATACAGCTGCGAGGCATAGTGGTAGATCTCTAGCTGCTTCTCTGGTCGCAGAAGCTTGGTTTGAGGAACCTGCCGCACATCAAGTATGCATGGAACTTTGCGACAGTGAAGTGGGTGGTTCCAGCTGTGCGCCTACATGCCTTTATTTGCAGCTAAAGGGCAACGAGATCTAAACCTCAGATCGTCTCTGGGAGAGGTGGTCTCCACACACACACACACACACACACACACACCCGTCTGTGGCACTGCATCGCGCGAGCTGTTTGGCTGAGGTCCCTGCCTCTCAATACTTCCAAGGCCAACGCTGAGTAGAGCTGCGGGCCACATTGTGCCACCGAGCTATCAACCTGAGCCAAAGTCCTCCTGCCATACTGCTCTCTGCATTGGCAAGACTGCCGAAGGCTGTTGCTCAGGGTTAGACGGCCATCACTACATCTGACTCTGCCATGAAGGCTCCTGCACACGACTTTCCGAGACAGATGTGCTAGAACTTGTCAGCCTGGCCGGGGTCGGTTGCAGCACCACGAGGCCCCCCAGCAAAAGAGCTGCATCTGCAGACTGATTGCAACAATGGCAACAAAATCCATAGAGATGTAAAAGAACGAGCAACTAAGTCTCTTTTTCAGCCACAGATCAATCTGTCAGCGAAGGAATTTCCTCCTGAAATGAACAACAAAGCCTTTTTGAATCGGTTGTCGGCTGCACTGGTTTCAAACTTGGTATTTCCAGTTTCACTCAAACGGTCAACCCCGAACCCTAGCGCTCAAAGGAATAGATTGTCACCAGTAACAACAAAGTGTCCGATGGTCATCAACACTGTCATCAACCAAAAGATTGACTCTGCTCCACTTTAGTAAGGTGTTCTGCAACGACGCGAGCAGCTTCGCTGCCAGCCGTTCACTCTGCTGTGACAAAAGTCACAAGAGTCCAGATTCCATCCACATGGAAGTAACGTCAATTAACATAAGAGATGTTTCACTTCTTGTTGCCCTGCTCCGACTCCACACAGCTGAGCTGGCATTTTGCCCCCACTGGTTCTTGGCATATCGGTTGGCCCTCTTTTGCAAAAGCAAAGCAGCCGTACTTGGATAACTGTTGTAAGTTGTCAGCACAATAATTAGGTCAATGGGGTTGTAGAGCCCTGCATGCTCGCCATTTCGGGATTCGCGCCGGACGACTCGCAGAAGTTTGCATTTCTTTGCGATGCCCGGCTGAGCATGGAAGCATACTCCAGCGGCGAGCTATAGGAAGAGCGGTGTGCATGAAGAGTCCAGGGGTGACGTACGTACAGCCAGTTGCTGCACCAAATGCTTCTTGTTGCCCCCCATTGCATGACACATGACTGTGCCCCAGCTCACAAGATCTTCATCATTGGAATTGACCTCATGGGACACCTGGGGCCGGTATGGGTCCCAGTAGTCGGACCGAGAGTGGAAATCATTCCAAAGACCTATAGTGCCCTTCGGTTTGGCTTTGATGCCCCACCCCAGATGCCTGCGGCACTGTCACTGCCAACCGAAAGAAGAGATCCTCGAACCTGTCTTCAGGAAAGCGCATCACTGGGTTTTAACAGCCAAAGCGACGCCGCTCGAATTTGACAAGGAAAGGCGCACAACCTGAAGAGATGCAACTCATTTCCAATTTTCATCTTGTCGAATGTAATGCATGAACGTGATCAAGAAAAATCCATTTAATGAACAAGGCAATGGCGACAATACCTGTTAACTTTGTTCGACTCTTCTTGTAAAACAAGCGTTTGTCGATGTCCTGCTCATGTCTTTGGCTGTCCTTCCACATCTCCAAGAACGGAGTTCGAACTCTTTGGTCTTAAGATAGGACTCCGTGCAGTGTCAATGTACGCAGCAGTGCAAGGGTACATAATGGTACGTAGCGCATGCGCACACAGATGGAAACAACAACAATTCTCAGGAAACGAAAACCAAACCCGCAAACATGAAACTCCAACAGTTGAAGATTCTGAAGCTTTAACAACCTTTCGGCGGTGCGTTCACGCTTGCAACACATGTGCTGATGAGCAGGCAAGAGCTCCTCTGACACTCCGGAGGCTGCTGACCGTCTGGGTCACGTCGAGCCCAAATTGCTAAGCCCAGAACTTCCAGTGTTACACATCCCAACAGTTTTTTTTGTCGTCAGCCAAGTTCATCAACAGCACGGCTTGAGTTCCGGTAGTTATTTAGCTGGCAGGAAACTCGCCCTCTATGCGTGAGTGGTTGTCCTGGTGCGGGGTTTGCTGTCTCATTCTCATGCCCCTCATGCATGACATGTCCCTAGGCCCGAGTAGGCTCGTTCTGCGACACCTGAGAAATTATCACGAAGTGAACAGGGTAAGCTCCCGGCATGGTGCCCCAAGCCTAGGCTGAGGGCAGACTTTCATCACTGGAATCGACACAGCGAATCATCATGGCGGCTTGGAAAAATGGCTTCCGAGATGAGATGGTCTCTAAACTCTAGCGAGCACCTCAGGTTGACGCTGTCTTGTGGAGCTCCTGCCCAGAGGTCTGGAGGATACTCAAGAGACCCTGGCAGCAGGTTGTTTTTGTCTTCAACCCATCGTACCAGCATCAAGAAGCATCAAAATGTCGGCAGCTGAGCCAAATCACTCTGGCTCTAAAATGTTTAGCCTGATAACCAGCTGAACACTCGAGAGCAACCCTTTCTCGCCTCAGAGCTACCCTCTAGTGGGATCTTGGCTCACATCAACTCGCCTGCTGGCCCGCTACAAGTACATGCAACTCGGTCGAGTCTCTCATCCCGAGGCCTCGATGCAACAGCTGCGGGAATGAGACCACACGACTCTAGGACGCTCTGCAAAGTTCTTTCTGTGAGGGTCCTTCAGCGGCAATTGAAGGAAGCTTCTCTCCGTTTCTCTCTCCTGGCACATCCTCAGGATTCCCCCCTCCGAGACATAATAGTTGATAATCGCTATCAAACTACTCAAAAGCAAGCCTTCCAACAGGACCGCAAACAGTCAATCACCCAAAGAGTCTCTCGGGCAAAAATGCTCGGAACACTACTGCTCTCTGTGTGCCCTGGCCCACTTCTGGCCTCACATATCCTGGCCCTTGCGTCGTCATGCGGGCTCCGAAGGAGAACCTGTGTCAAGACACAGTGTACTCCAGTGTCCCATATGCCCTCTTTTCCGAACCTCCAGGTGGCGGAGCAGTTTATCTTGAGCTTCCTGACGAAAGCATGCGTGAATCAAGACGGTTCAAGCATGATTTGTTCTGCCTCCGGATGGTCTGCCAAAGCCAGGGCGCCTTTCCTCAGAGCCTGGCAAGACAGGATGGATGGATCCGATGCGAATCTTCCAGAATGCTCTCCAACAAATGTACGGTGCAAAGAAACTCACATTCTCAATTGGTGAACTGCCGAACCGCATGCCCATGCAGGAGCTGACGGGTCACAAAAAGTCAACTCCAAGCTCCGGAAACCCCGACCTGTCCAAGTATCAAGCATAGGGTAGTTGCAGCTTGACCGCGGAGCCTGGGGCCGGGTTCCGCCACTTCGGACGACACTGTCGAAGCCGGGTAGATGGAGAGCGCTGGAGCTTTGGAACAAGTGCTTCACAGCAAAGAGTCTTGCGTGCCTGGCATGGCACAGACCTTCTATGTGTCCGCGTTCCACGTGTCGCCCTTCCCCCCGCTGCAAATGTATCCCCCGACACGCCCCATTCCCATGTCCCCTTCCCATCCGCGATCTAGACTCTAAATGCCATGAAAGGAGGGGCCGAGCCGTGTCGCTCTATGTGCCGAAGCAAGTGTTTTGACCAGTGTCTAGCGTCCAGAAGCTGCATGAAAGGCTGCTCGGGGTGGGGGGAGCGGGAGCGAACTGCTGCTAATGCTGACACCTCTAGGTCTCATTCCGAGCAAGGACACAGGTCGGAGAAGCAAACCAACCGCCGTAACCGCAATAACTCCTACGCCAAACCCACGGCACAGGCCTCAACAGAAACAGGGTTGAAGCTTCTAGCACATACATCCATCTAGACACAAGGGACCTGGGCCCAGATAGTGGCCCATGGAACCTCATCGCAGCTTCGCTGTGGTGCACTCCGGGGATCTCACTCCGTCTTCTCCTCTGCTGTGCAGACCTGCGGAGCTGAATGATCTGAGCTGAGCATGCGATTTGACTGGCAGGGGACCGACTTTGGCTGAATCATTCTGGCGCACGTGAGTCTCGATTGTCGTTTTCTGTGGCAATGATGCCCAGTGTGCGCGGCAAGCTGCTCCATATTTAGAACTAGAGGCAACTAGCGGGAGCGGCAAACTAAAGGGGCATTACATGATTTAGCCTTCCAGGCAGCAAGTGATGAGCAAATGGTTCGTGTGCGCTCAAAGTGGGCGCGATGGTCTCAAGATCCAGCTGATGGCAAGAAGCGAAACACAGCGACTAAGCAGCGTCAAGCGTGAACTCAGGCTTGGCATGAGCTGAGCAGGAACGGAAGCACAAAGGAATGCACGAGTGAGAGCAGCACTCTTGTCCTTCCCCTTCGCGCATTCCCAACCTTCTCTCCCCGGAAAGAGGGATACCAAACGAATAAGATTTGCAAGCTCGAGACGTGTGCAAGGAAGTCCGGTAAAGTCTAGGCATTTCGAAAGCTGTCGGCACATGTCGGCACAAAGTGGCCTCCGTGATTGTGCTGAGAATGGAGTCCCACACCTGCACTGCTGGCTTGCAAATCACCCCACGATGCTGAACCCTCCAAGCCAAATCGCAATTTCACAACAATGACTGCACAACTCGGGGCCAGGAAGAGCCGCGCCAAGTTGAAATTGCAGAGGTCGACCTATGAAACAGGGACTTTGGGAGATGCTGTGGCTGTCCGAGTGGTGCTCGGGCACGGACCATGCGGTGAAGGATTAGTGTCCCCTCGTCTGTGTCCGCGGTCCTGTGCCGCCAGACGCCGAGCGCATGATTGATCCTACCCTCAACATGTGTCATGCGCTGGAAGCTCAGTTGCTGTACAGTTGCAGCCATTTAAGCGATCGCACGAACCTGGATGGCCTTAAGTTGCGGCCCAGAGCGCCAACAACATCTGCTAACGCCTGGCATCAAGGTGAGAATGGAAGATTCCAGCTCACGGAATCTCACTCGTGTCCACTGAAACTACGAGTAACACGGCGTCACCGCGTGCCTGCGCAAACTAGGTTACGGTGCATACTGCATATTGCAATCCTGTGGCCATCATAGTCGGGTCCCATGCTTCAGCTGCAGGAATTTCTGCTCTATGCCTTCTCGCGAACATTCTGACACCCGTCACAAATCTGGAGCCAAAAACAAATCAAATTTTACAGCGGTGATGTGCCCCATCAGCCAGTTGCGTAGCACCAGGAGGTGTGACTACAGTCGGACGTGAGTTACCCCCTGGATTTCCCTGTTGCGGTGCAACTAGACGGTTCACGGCATCCGGCAGCAGCGAGGTCGTCTCGAAAACAGAATCCAAGGCCTGTCGGATGTGTGCAACATATGAAGTGCCAGGGTCGAAGAAATTGTGCTGAAAAGAGCACCAGTGCCGTCGAAGCTTTTCTCCAATCAGGTCTCCAAACTGCCGACCAACTCCATGCCCACGTGATCAATTGTTGCTTCGCAGACATAGGCATCCTCAGGCACTTAAAGGCAAGGAAGGCCGCTCTCCTGCACCCTGGGTTTGTTGTTCATCAAATGTGATCAAGTCAGTCCTCCAAGCCCGGACACTGGCCCAGTGCCTGCTGTACCCTCTCTTTGGCCGAAGGTGTGCGCATCAAAAGCGTTCCGAAGCCACCGCCCCCAGCACCAGCTAAGGAGAAACCTCGCGCGGATGCAACGGAGTCCAGAGTTGCGGCAGGCGTGTCTCCCGAACTCTGTAAACGGAGCACAGTTTGTCATAACTGCTTGCCTAGTAGGTCAGCCTCCAAGATTTTCCGCAGCTGCCCAACCGGCCGTGGCTCGCAGCCAGCAGCCATCACTTGTTTCTGGGCCCAATACCGGGACAGACACCGGCCAACCTCTTCGACATCGCCTCCTCGAATGGCCTCTGCGCAGTCATATGCGTTCTCAACCTCAGCACCGCATAGCACAATGCACCAGCTGCTGCCAAAGATTACCAAACTATACGCAATCACTGAGCTGTTGCCGCCTTAGATTCAGACATCACGGTGCCGACCCATATCGAAGGAACGTTGAGGACATTGGGTTCACTCTTTGTTCGTCGTGCAATGAAGCGCATACAGAGGAGTCTTTTTTGTGGTCAAGAAACCAGACCTTTGACGGTCTCACAGATCTCCGGTACGCGGCTGAACCATCGACGGATTACATTCCTGGGAAGGTTGGGGGGTCCCATAGCGGCAGACCACCCGCGAGCTGACATGTCCATCTCCCTTCATGACATCTGAGGGTCTGTAGCAAATGCTTTGCCAAACGTGGTCGGCCTCAGAGAACAGTCTTGAAGCCAGCCAAAAGGAGGGCACACTGACCTGAATGCCTCGCTGAGGCACCAGTGAATATCAACAAAAGGCGCGACTCGAAGGCTTCTGAAAATGATGGCTGCAGTGGTAGCTGCTCCTCGGTGACGCGAACACAAACCCGCCGGCGAGGAACAAATAAACGCTCTTTTCTTTGACAAGTCACCGGCAAGACTCTCAGTGGCAGCGAAGCTTTGCTGCGTGTGAGCTTTGCACCACCCAGAATCGCACCAACCTGTGCGGGAATATGTGTTGTGCTGACGAGGATCATTCATGACTCTCTTGAATTGCTATATATTGGTTTGCTTTAACCCCTGCCTGATCTTGCCAGCCTCCACCCGTGGTCAGCATCTGCTCGACATTCTGAACGGCCTAAGCGAGGGGTCTCTTTTGGATCGCGGGCTTGAATGATTGCCGGAACCATTGGTTCTCTGAAGGCACTACGAGTTCGAGCGGCACGTCCACACGCTTAAGACAACTTCAGATTGCCAAAGATGACTTCGTTGCCCGGCTGCATGGATGAGAGATTCCGCATCCATGTCCAAACCGAAGGCTGCCTCAAGTAACTTCCGAGCATTCATGAGGCTTCGGCCATGTCAAAGCATGAAGCAAAGAGAACAGAGCGCCGGCCCAAGCGGCCATCAAGGCCTTCACCGCCGCGGCCGCCAGAACGGAAGAGCTGCCCAGGCCACTTCCCTGGAAGTCAAAAGGCCGAAGCCGCGAAGCCCGCCCCTCTAGAGCACAAGCCATCCCTTCAGCTCTCTCTCGCGCTTCCGGCGGTCGCATGCGCTCGCGCCTGTGGCAATGAACTCCAGGTTGCGAGCCGCAGGCCACCTGAACACGGAAAAGCATTCCAATGAAGCAAACGACATCGATGCCCTCCTCTTTTCTCGGCAGCGATCGGTAGCGGTCAGTGCGCTTGCCTGCCGTTGCTTAGCGATACATTGACATCAGCTCCAGCTCGCCGAGGGATGTGGATGCAGGATCTTGCAGATTTCGTTATTTCTCCGTACTGGCATCACATCCGTCGTAAACTGGGGAACGAGTTGTACCTACGAATTCTAGCGCTGGAAGCACGATGGCGGCGTTGCGGGGTGAGACATGCAGCAATCGACCAGTCAGAAATCACCTCAGCAAGGCCCGCAAAGCTCGGCTAATGAGTCATCAGACCCGACGTACGCTCAATCGTGGAATCACGGACATGCGCAACCTGGCAGTTTCTAGCCAAGCTGCCTGTCGAGGTGCTCCAGGTTCTGGAGCCAAGCGCCGTTCACAGCAACCGCGTATACGAAACTTGTATCTCTCCCCTGCACCACTGCGCTGTCTGTGGGCACTCGACAAACCAGGAAACCTCTGCCTGTGCTGTCTAATCCTTCTGATCCTGCGAGCCGCCTCGCTGCCAAACGGCCTGTCCGCTTGATCTCATGCGGGGCACCAGGAACTCCACGAACTCTACCTCCAAAGAGCAAAGCTCAAAACTCCAAACACGTGGCACATAGCCCTCTGTTCCCGTCGCAGCAGCAAACTGCACCAGAGTCGGTGGTACATCACAGCATGTGTTGCCCACTTCTTCTTAAAGTTCCCAAGTTCAGCAGGTTGGCTTCCGAGTGAAGGAAAAAACTGGCAGCCTGGTATCTGAATGAAGAAACCGTCTAGCAGCTTGGTTGCTGAATGCGTGATTTCCTGAATGCAGGAAATATCTAGGAAAATCTAGCTCTATCTAGCTCCCGTGCTCGTGTGCCGGCTGTGAAGAAGACGGCTTGCACCAAGCTTTGATAGATTGGGACCGTACGGTGGCGAAGTTCAAAACGAGTACTGTCTTGCTCAGGGAGTCAGGGAAAAGGGTTCGTGATGGAACTTCGACGAACTTCGACATTAAGGCTAAGCAACACGTTCTAATGGGACTGGGAAAGGATATGCAGCAGCATTTTCGCTGCGCCTTGCGCTGTTCCACGGTCCGGGCATAGTAGACCCGAGCCGGTGCCGCACCATCTGGGCCACCACAATGCTTCACCTCCACGACATAGCCACTCACTCTGAACCTCATCTCCAGACTCCAGATGTTTTCCGGGACGGCAGTGATTGTAGGGAGCAACACAAACGAAAATACTACCCGGACCGCAGACAGTCGAGCTGCTGAAGGTCCACGATATGGCAGCTCAGTTCCACAGCATCACGACCCACTTTTTCGAGGACCGGAGCCTACGGCATCTCTAGCGTTCACGAACCAACTCACAACTCCTGGGTACACGCCTGGATGCACAGTGCAGCCGCCAGCAAATCCGAAAGCTTGACCTGCACACAGGCGACCATCTCGGGCACTTTCAGGGGAAGCGAATGGAAGCGACCTCTGGCTGCTTTTGAGGGCATGGGTTCCACGAGCGCATCAGCTGCCGATGAGTCTCCTCACGATGTCACGAGGCTAGGCCCTAGGCTATTGCGCGATGGGACTACGGTGACTAGGGGACTCCAGGCAGACTCCTGCTGAAGCATGGCCTCGGCCTGCTCCTCTCCAGCCTCCTAACAAGCTTGACCCTTCGAAAAAGGACATGCTGTCGCTGCCCAGCGCTCCTCTGCAAGGTCCTTGGCACTGCAACCATGACGGTCCAGTGCCAAAATCATTTCAGTGGAGCAGTAAGGCAGGAGAATCTGGAGCACCTGGCGACAAGGGGAGCGCTCCCAGTGGTTCCAGCGTCTCTCTTGGCCTTGACTGGCATGCTTTGGCAGGTTTCACCTCGATGTGCCCCTTGACAGCGGCAAGATGCAGCGCAGTCCACTCCTCGCAAAAGCTGTGCTACACCATCCGAACCCAGCCGCATCTTCGCAGGGTGTGCTGCTCCACGCTGCTCCTGAGGCGTGCGTTGTCCGACGTCTGCTTTGGCATCGAGCAGCGTCGTGCAGCACTTGGCTGAACCACCTTTCACGGATTGCCGGGGATTCCTCCACTCGCAAGTGAAGCAAAGAAATTCAAGTCCGAATTTCTGGTAAACTGACCGTATGCCGAGGAATGCAGTGGAGTCCATCCCCTGCTGCAGCGCTGATTCTTGAGAGCTGCAGCTGCGGGAACGTCGAGCAGCATTCCACATAGCCTGATCAAGAGTATTCTGGGATGTTCAGATGTTCAGATCTGAATCTGAGACAGTACTGCCCATTATGCTCCAACAACTGTTGGTTGGCATGCGTTTCAGCTACTCTGTCCTTGCAAAACCCAATGCGGCGGCCCAGTGCAGGGCTGTAAGGCCACGCTTGTCGCAATGCCAGGATGCCGCGCCTTTCCTGCAGACAAGGAAGTCTCCGCATGTCTCCGCTAGCGTCGGCTGGCACCATCTAGGCTGAATGTCCCCAAAGAAAGGCAAGCCGCCTGCCCTTTTGACACTGGCTTTCAAGTCCTGATGAGTAGCTGCGTAGCCCCAGCCAATCCGTGGCGCACTGCCCAGAAGAGTGGTGTATGGCCATGGGGGTCTTCCTAGCAAGCGGAGAGGCATCGCCGCTCAAAAACCAGAAGTTTCTGAAAAGTCCTGGTGGATGAGATCGGGGTGTCGTTCCAACAGGGCCTGACAGACCTTCACCGTGCTTTGTGCCATTGCCGGTGCAAGTCTTTTTCAGAGACAGCGCTTCAGAAAGCGGAGGCCTCAAGGCTGCCACATCCGGCAGCAAAGTGCAAGGCATTTTCGCCTTGAAGCGTCTCGAGCTCGTCTCGCTTCAATGGGAAACCTGACAAAGGCAGAGTCGAGCCAATCCGCACAATTTCACCTCGAACCTTGCTGCTGTCTGGAGAGCTCTCGAGAATCGACAGCACGCGGGAGGTGGTTGCCTCAAACTCTGCCTTGAAAGCTTCTGGAGCTTCGAGGGATGTGCGGTAAAGACCAGAGAGGATGTCCGGCACAGGCCTTTGCAGAGACAGATGCGGTTGCTGGTATGCGCAATGCTGGGCCTCTTCCGCTCTTGCACATTGCCATGCATCCATAGAGCTTCGGGGCAGCTGCGGAGCAGGCCATTGCACCACAAAGCCATCGCGCACAGCTTTGAGCCACGGACAGAAGCAACACACATCGGTATGCCAAAGATTGGGGAACTCAGAGACTCAGAAATTGTCATGCCAAAGACTCTCAGTCTGAAGGCCTCCCGCACTTCGCAGCTGCTGCTGCAGTGGTGTGCCCGTCCCCAAGGACACGATGCCGCAACAAAGGATGCAGCACTTCCTTAATGTCATCAGCTTGGTCTTGGGGTGCCGACACACAATCGAGCAAAACGCAACATCACCACACCGAGACTCAACAAAGCTGCTGGAGCGCTTGGCGAATTGTAATCCTTGGCTAGTTGTACACGAATCTTCTCCAATCTCGCCAAACATGCCCCCCACGGCGCCAAAGCTTAAACACAATGAAAGACAACAGTGAGCCTCCGAGCTCGATTCCAAGAGTCTTGAAGGTCGGCGAGGCTGCGGCAAACCACTGCACCGTGACTCTGCTCAACTGGACCAAGGTCCTTGCTCTGAGGAAAGTCTAAGCGCCTCCTGGCTTGTGGTATGCTCCCCTGCCGTGCGTCGTGCATTGGGTGAGGCGTGCACCTTTCCTCGTTAAGCACTGTGTACTGCTCAACTGTAGTGGCTATCGATCCCTGGCCAAAGCACTTCTGTAGCTTCTCCGGTTTACTGAAGGACGGCTCAGTCACAAGTGCTGTCGTGGCAGCTTTGCTTCCCTTCCAAACGTCACTTAAGCATACACGGCAGGTGTGCCTTCCTGCAATTGCATCGAAAGAGCCACAAAAACACGTGATCAGCCAAACCTAGCTTACTTTCGGCGGCCAGTAAGATAGACAGGTCCTTGCTCCAGGTCTCCAGAACCAATTCCAGCTGCTGCGACATACCTGTGCGAATGTTCTTCAGGGCAAGATATCCGTTGCTACGAGGCACCGCCGTCTACCAACTATTATCAACTCCTGTGACATGCTACATCCAAGTTAAGTGCATTGTGTGTGTGGAGTGGATGCTCCAGCATCTTTCAATGCCCTTTCGAAAAAGAAGCCGATAAGCCCATCAGCCAGCCAATAAGCCGATAAGCTCAGAAGTTGATGCTTGTATCAGCGGATATTGGACCAGTTATAGCGAAACGCAAGAACCTATGCACCCGATGATGCCCGATTCCACCGACATCCCGTCAAGCAGTTCGAAGGCTTCCGTCTGTTTCGCAAGGTATTCCGGGTGTGGGCTACGGAGCCGATGTCTGGAGTCGAGGGTTGTTCCGCGGGACCGGCCCGGCCTCGTTCAGACTTTGAGAAGGTGCGAACAGATGCCCTGTTTATAGAGCATCTTATAAGACAGATGCACATTCCACGAGACGTCTGTCATTGGCCTTACACACATGTGGATCTCAAGCAAGACACGCAGGGCTCTGGCTCCCAAAGGCCGACGCCCATCAACACGCACTGCCACGTTCACCTGAGCACTGATGCAAAACGCCGGCTGACCACCTACCAGTAACTGTCGATCCCTGCGGGAGACTTTCCTCTACAGTAGCTCCTGGATAGCAGCGTCTGGCTGTTTGGCTTTGAGAAGCGAAGGAGTGGAGGCTTTAGTGGCAGCAACTTTTGCCACGCGGATCCTCGCTGCGTCGACACAGCCTGGTAGGGAAGGCATTCGGGTGCAACTAGATCTCGTCAAAGCTGGGTCTGGACACCTTCGGCTTCTTGTAAAGCTTGATGTCCTGCGTTTCCGCCTTCATGCACAAGTACTCCCCCAGCAGAACCGCAATAATGAGGGCGGGCAGCTGGATGATCCACCATTCCATGTTTGCAGGAAAGCCTTCCGCTAGGAACGTTGCGAGTAGGTGAAACAGGTGGTATGTTGTCACGAAGTCCAAGCACTTCTTGGCACGCTGCACAACGAAACGCAGTTCGACAGCCATTACCAGAGAAGTGAACTGCAGAGCTAAGGCCAGAATCCATCCCCTTTTCGTGGTCCAAGTGTACGCTTCGGGCTGAAAAAGCTGGGCTGCACTCTGTTCTTCACTCAACAGCCAATCTGCCAAAGCCACGGCTGCACCAAGACAAAACCAGAAAGAGCTCTGCATGACAACGATCTGAGTCGTGATGAGACGTGGGTTGAATTGATCGGCGCCGAAGAACCTACCCTCAGCCATGATGGCAATCACATATCTCTCTACACTCTACGCAGTGTGTGCACGTGTTTGTGCGTGGGTGCTCTGCAGACAATCCAGTCTTGCTATTGGCATTTCCCTGTGAGCTCTTGTAGCACTTTTTGTGCATGAAAGTGCGTCGGTGCGATCCCATGAGTCATGAAGTGCAAAGATGCCCCTGCAATATGAGCCACATGCAGCTTGACAGCGAATGCAGCAGCATTGTTATGGTCGACGATACTTGTAGTTGTACGACCACAACACTAACTAAATCTACCTGCTGGCATGGAAGCATCATTGCATCGACTTTCTCTGCAAGCATGTGGCAACAGCACCGCCGTGCTCGTAGCAGATTGGCGGCGTATCAGACCAACCGCCAGCAAGATCAATCCTTTGTTGATGCGGCGGCCTAGATAGACAAACTGCTTCTGTAAGTATCTGGGTCCGACATCCCCAAAGTGCTCTTTTTGGCCTTTCTCAGCTTATTCTCAGCTTTCTCATGATGAAATCTCTTCTACTTCTCCCCACTCTCTTCAAGCGATTGCCGCCGCTTGCCGATCCGTCGATGCACTGCATTATTCCGCATTACGTTCCCGTTATAAGGACGGCTTGATCGATCCTGCGGTAAGCTGTATGAAAGCAGTCTTAAGCTGATGCATGTCAAAAGACTCGGGGCGTGTTCAGGCAACTGCAATCGTCAACACTGTAACAGAAACACGGCGTCGGTGTGCAAGTTTCAATATTTCACCTGTCATTCGACTCCACGATCCCGACATCATGCCTGTTGAAGCTGCCGCGCCAAGCTGCCGTGCCGGCGCTTCCACCACCGCCCAGCACCCCTCAGGCTTCATCTGCCCAGCTGGCGAAATTCTAACGAACTTCGAGCACCTGCAATGGAAGGTGCTAACCAAGGTCAAATCTAAGAAAGCAGGACATTTCAGCATCAAATGCATCAGCCAGTGCAATGGCTTGAGGTGCCGGCGTTGCAACTGCAGTAAGGATCAGCACCTGCCCAGCCCAGCAAACACTGTCTAAACTTCGTTATAAGTCCCCTCCTGATTCTTTCCTTGAGCTTCCTTCTGTGTTTTAGGGTATTCTGACATCCTCCGGACTATCTTGTGTCGAATTCTTTACATTGCGGCGGTCAACTCTACGGAGCCGATCCGCTTTGCGGGAGCGGCGCAGCCCTTAAATCTGGCAGCGCTCGGTCCCCGAGCACGTGCGTCCTGTGAGTTCGAGGCTTAGCCGAGGCGTGTCTTGCAAGCTTTTGCCTCAGCAACAGGCGCGACCGCGCGGGACCTCGCCCGGAGGCTTTTCCGAAAATGCACGCGTTCCGCAGCCATAATTCGCCAGGCTATGGCTGGTTTCGGGGCCCCTGAACGAGCCCAAGAAGCCAGCCGGCGAGCATCATGAGCACTCCGGCCGCCGCAACCGGCCCTGCAATGCAAGGCGATGTTTTGCTGATTCGCAAAATGGCGCGCATCATCGGCGGAGGGAGGGTGCGTGGCCTTGCTCCAGGCTTCTACCTGCGCTGCCCCCCCGTGAGCACAGCCGGGGAACTGCTAGCAGGGACTCGGAGATGAGGAGGCTCGCCGATAGTCGTCAGGCAGCTGGTCACAGCTTCCCGAAAGAACAAGCGGCAGCGGTGGCACACCCAGCTCTCCCAGAAAAGCAGTGAGCAGGAACAGCGCAAACTTGGCGGTGCAGCAATCGCGGCAGAAGACAGGATCCTGGGGAGATGACGAGTTAGGGAGGGAGTGGACCTCGAAGCAAGGAGAGCCCTTGAACAGCTCACGGCTTGAGCCAAACTCTCTCTTGCTTGTTCTCGGTCAAGAGCAGGGGTCTCGCCCCCGCTCCCCCGCGCAGTGGACCAAGTCGTCCAGCGTCCCGCGCAAAGGTCGGCGTGAGAACCAACGGCAATGCATAGAAACTTCCTATTCCAATGCTCTGCTTCATTGAAGGCTCTGCTCACAGGCCTTTACATCACAGAATAAGACACCAGTGCGGAGGCAGGATCGTGCCTGCGCCGCTGCTTCATAATGACGCGCAGCCCGCATGGTAGACACAGGGCCGTCTTGCAACCAGTTTGATCCTCGACAATCATGGCAAACTTAACAAAACTAGTTGTCGAGACCACACTGACTCCCCGACCGGCTTTCAACTAATTGTTCCCACGTCTCACTTGGGAAGTGCAGAAAGCTCTTGCATGGTCGTTTCTCGTTCAAGCGGCTAATCAGCGTCATGAGCTGCACCGCTTCTTTGCGAAACCTTGGTTTCCGGCGCACTGGACAAATTGTCCTGCAAGATACGCATTTGTGTCCTCGCCTTGGCTCGAAGCTCGCAAGCAGCTGCAAGGCTTTCCGCCACTGCACATTCCGAGCACTGCCGGAACGCAATCCACCTCCCCGGGAGCCAATGGGATAAGCATCGGGCTGGGCAGAATTTGGCTTCCTGCTGACCCGGCAATGGAGGCCAGGACTTCCGCCACCTGACAGACAGTTTTTGCTTTCGTCGCTGCACATGTGCCGAGGGTTGGTCATTGTGAGGACGAAGGAAAACAGCAGCGCTTCCCGCAGACCATTCTGTCCAATCTGCCTGAGCAAGGGAGCGTGCTGCCACATCCAGAGGCGTTGCCTCGCTCGCGGCCACCTCGTCCTTGGCTGCACGCAGGTCTCGGGTAGAACACTTCCATCGCGGCACGAACAGACACCACAAGGTGTCGCATGGCTCGGGAAGTTTCCGTAGATGCACACAGCCTACCGTCCAAGGTGAGAGACACATTTCGACTGAGGACGGCTCTCGAACTAGATCCACTGCCCCCCTTTCATCGAAGGTGGGGAAACCCATCAAGCAGTGACAAGCTTAGTTTGCCATATGACTCCACATTTTACAAACCGTGAGAGTGTAGAGCTAGCAAGGTCTACTGGGAGGCATATCTGTCTATTTCAGCTCTGGAGTGTCTGCCCAGCAGCCAAACTGTCAAGCAACCCCAGCCTTCCTCGACGTACCTCGTCCTGCAATTCAACTCGCTCGCGACCCAAGATTCTAGCAACAACTTGTCGCAATGCGCGATTCTCAGTGACTCCACGCAGGCCTGTAGAATGTGCGTGATTGGCGCATCCTTCTGCTCCAACAGCAATTGTTTCACGCGCAGCACATTGGCCTCTGCAGCTATCGTGTCCTGCCGACAGCTGAGCAGGAGCTGATTTTGCACAGCTGCATTTGAGCACGATGTCACGACGTCCTGCCACTCCAACTCCACAGCCACATCAGCCCGCAAAGCCACATCGTGAAGGGACAAGCGCTCCGAATGCAGCAGCAAATCCTTCCAGGAGCGCCGCCAAAGATCCTGCGGCTGAGGGACAGTGATTTCGGAGTTGTCTCCAGGCTTCTGGCTTTGAAGATCTGTGCCCGCCCCGAGTCTCCAGACAAGAGGGGCGGGCTGCAGCAGGCTGTCTGCAGGCAAGGATGTAGTCCACCTCGAAATCTGAGACGGCGACACTGCCAGCCATGGCTTAATATCGTTGTTGAAGCCCAGCAGCCCAAACCAAGGCCAGATTGGAGACACGCTCCGTAGCCGTTCCCTGCAAGGGAACGATGGGGAATAAGCCTTAGGCAGCGAATGCATGCAGAGCGCAGTGAGTTGCCTGTATGTATAATACGACGTCAAGCGTACATGTCTTTGCGGTGCTTCGAGCAAAGATTGAAAAAGCCGGCCGACACACGGAATCAGATTCCATCGAACGCAGTAAAGTAACAAGCCGTGTGTAACGTACCTCTGCCATCGGGCCAAACATCAGCAGCACCGAGTCCTCGTGCACATGCCCATAATTGGACCACTGATTTGCCTATTATCTTGTCTGTGGTGACACGGCAAGAATTTATTCTGATGGTCAAGCCCTAGGAGGCAGTTTTCAGCACGGACTCAGGTGATGGCCAGCGCCTATGCAACCCTCACCCCCTCTTCAGGAGTGCCTTGAACGCCTATCGGTCCTGTGTTTGCGAAAAGCTCCTGCCAAGTCTGGTTCAGCACAGTTCCATTCCGCATAGACACCTTGGCTCACGCGGCTCCGCGGCTCGGAAGGCTTTTGGGCTTTTGCGGCGACGCCTCATCGCCAACTCCCAAGGTCAGCAAGCAGCACCGAGAGGTGGCCTTCACAACTGACAAGCTTGGAGCCGGCTTGCCCGCCTTGCCTCTGACTACAGCACTTTTCGAGTGAGGAACGAGTTGTGGACTGGTTCTGCATAAGGAATGCAGCCATGCTGCGTTTACAGTTTACAGCAGTCTCGTAGGACCCTTTCGCATTGCGAGACTTTCCGACGGTGATTAGTTCACCAGCTGCTCCTTGCATGCAAAGGTCAGCTTCACTTGCAACCATCTTGGGAGGCGTGTTTCGTCCAGCAGCTATCGGGAATGGCGCCACACAGAGAGCCAGTCAAGGCCCGGTGCGTTATCACAAAACGGTCCAACTCCAAATTGGCTTTCGCCCAATAGGCCCGCGTCGTGCAGCTTTTCTGATTGACGCTTGTGTTCCGTCGGCACAGTGTTCAACGTAAAGATGTGATTGAAGTGTTCATATTACCTCTCTGCGTGGAGCTTGGGAGCATTGAGACTTGGCACGACCGTTTTGGCTTCCTTCCGACTTGACAGGCAATGACGATGAACCAGCCGTTGGTGCTTGCAGTGGCTGTGTTGGGAAAACAAGCTTTCAACCTCAGAACCTGGCTCGGCATGGACTCGAAGCGATTCCGGTGGCAGATGCGTCCGTCTGGCCTGGCTCTGCCCGGATGTAGGCAGCAGCGCCACCTCTGGAGCGAAAGGTCCCTTGCTCACGGCACTGCCTGGAGCTATGGCTTCGTGCGCTTTCGCCTGCTGCAGCCAAATGCCGGAGGGAATGGCCAGCCCGCGCAGCCGCTTAAGGCCGCTGCACACAGCTCCCTGCTCCTCAAACTTGCGGCCGTGGGAACGTCATGGAACGTCTACGCTTCGAATCTGCAGCCAAGGCTCCACTCGGCAATCCTGCAACGCGGAACTTTCCACGATGGCTTCCATGGCAACATTGCCTTCGGCAAGCGCGGCTGGCAGCTTCAACACTCTGTCTGGGCTACCTTCTTGCGCACGGTGACCCCGCTCTGGGCGTCGGACAGCCGCTGTGAAGCACGGTGTTCACCACGAAGGCGGATGTGTCCACACGCGCAGGCTCTTCCAAATAACTGCTGAAGCATTGCACCTGTTAATCTTGTGCACTCTGCACTGAAGGCTTGATCTCTTCTGGCTTGCCATCACAAGCACGGATAAGCACGGCAAAGAACCTCTGGCTCTGAGCAGGAGTGCAGCGAGGAAAGAAGCTGAACAAAGTCGTGGGTGGAGCGCACCTCGCTCAACAAAACAAGCCGACGCGATCGGCTAGCTGCTCACTGACTCTACACGCTACACCATCTTGTACTTCGCTCCAAGCCGCAAAGCGATACTGTGCATCCTGTGTCCTCGTGTACGCGGGCTCCCGAATGACATAACATGCAAAGGCTCACTGTGATCATCTGTGATCCCTAGGTATTGCAAATCACGGGGGCAGCATGGCGTGGAATGAGTTGCCGCCAAGACTCTCCAGGACTGCTGCAGTCAAACGAAAACCATGCAGCCCCCTACAAATTGCCCGACGCAGGACCGGCTCGACTTCATTCCTGAGGGGATTCCGGCTAGAAAGGGACTGTCCGCGAAACATGCTCCTCTCATGGAAGCAGACACGAACTGATTGCAGTTGAGCTTCCCGGCAGCGCAGAACTGGTCCAAGTCCACCTCGGTGCCCATGGCGGCAAGGAGGTCCAGGTACAGCGAGAAGCCTTGAGCAAGACACCAACTGGCAGAATGCAGCCTTCGACGTCGCAATCGCGACAGACCGCCTGCAGCAACAGAGCTGGGCCTCGCGGTGTCGCACCATTGTCGATGCCCAGATATGAACATGCCTCGAACCTGAAATTACAAGCCCAAACAAGTGCATTGTCATATCAGTGCACGTGTCTGCATGTGGACGGCTGCCACACATGACCCTAACACCACGGGAATTTTGTGAGGTCTGCCTAGATGTCCCCAAACTTTTGGCCAAGAACGATGGATCGAAGGCCAGGTGCAGCAGCTGCGTGGCGGCTGCTGCATCAAAGAAAACAACTCCGCACACCTTCGCCTCAAGCGACTGCTCACTCGGAAGCACCCCGCCCTATGGATGCCGCCAAGTGGCAGTACATCTCGAAGAGCCTGAACAACGCGAACAAACCACACACGCGCATGCTTACAATTCTCGAGTTGGCCGGTCGGTCATTTTGGTACGTTGTGAGAGGGATCCACTGCAGGCTTCACACGCAGGCAGGCTCCAGCCTATCTGCGCCTGGATTCGCAGGGTCTCCGCAGATTCCCGAAACAGCAGCTGCCGCACGGTGCCGTCTGCCACAGATACGGAGTCAATCCATCAGCTTCGTTTTAATTGAACGGCCTGCGTCTAATGCATATGCACCGTAGCGCTCCGCAACTTCTTCGATCGGCAGTGCCACGGCCATAGCCGTGACAACACCTGCCAGCTGTCTGAAGGCAGCTGCCAGGCAAAAATCGAAACACGCAGAGCGGTCTACGAGGCTACGAGGACGCGATTGCTGCGGCAGCAGTGTGCAGTCAGGGGCCATGGAACAGACAAAGCGAGCGAGAGAGTTTCTGAGGGGGTCATGAAGCTCGAAGCAATGGTTATCATCGCTACTCTGATTTGTTCGCCGCTTGTCGGTACAAGCCCGAACCTGCCGTCGTACCCAGAATCCCCGGCGTGGCAAAAGCACCCTCTAGAGACCGACAGAGAACGAGAGAGAGAAGCATGCCCGAAACACCAAGCCTTTATCTACCGCCGCTTGCTGTGCCTCCCAAGCTCTCAAGAACACTGGCATGGCCTTTGCAGCTGGAACTGTCCGTCAGCGCCGCTGCTGCAAATCTCTCGCAGAAGCCCTCGCTAACCTGCATGAAGGAGTCCTGCCCATGTCGCGTCTTAGGACTTGCACTCAGTTGCATCCTGTGATTGTCTTCATGTCACAAAGAGGCTCCTGGGAAGAAACCACGAAGAGACCCGGTGGACAACGCGAAGCAAGGTTGGCCAGGCTGTCCTGGGATTGAATCGAATTCGATGTCTTCGCCGCATGAGCTAGCTTCGGCACAAGCTGTTGGAGTTGGCAGGCCATTCGCCCAATCTGGTGCCTTGAAGCTAAGACTGGGTCCATCAGCAGGTCCACTGTGCTCAAGGCGTGTGTTGAGGATCGAATGCCTGCACCACCAAGACACGCCTGCTAGCACTAAGGCTCAACGAATAGGACTGCGTGCGCCGATCTACAAAACAGCGCTGCATCTGGAGATTTAGGTATCTGCGCGGAACTTGGCAGTGTGCGCCAGGCCGCTGGGCTCAGTCTAAGTCTGATGGACAGATCTGTATAAGCCCCCAGTACGGCCTTCCGTGTCTGTCCTTTGTCAAAAGCCTTTGCGGCTCTCTCGTCTAATGGGCCAAAACTGCCTGAAAGGGCTTCTGACCACCTGAATCTCCACACATCCTGAATTCCATAACGTAAACAAGCCAATCTGAACTCGATTGAACTTGGCTACCGTAACGTTGAGGGCCACGGGGTTGACGCTCCGCCGTGCTCGTTCTTCAATGAAGGTCATGCTGTACGTGCTTCACAGTTGCCTTCCTGGAAGTTTGGAAGCAAAGAGAACGCTGGAATTCGCTGCTCGGTGCCACCGACATGAAGAATCAGCACCTGACAATTCCAGACACAGAGAAGCCAAGCAGGAAAAAGCGCTTGCCTGGTGAATATGCAGTGGTCATAATTATGTTACGTTAGATAGCGGCCGAATCTGAGTAACCGTTGTTGCCCGCTGTTGCCTGCAGACTCGGGCATCTTCCACACCATGCAACACAACTCCAATATTCAGAGACTTCGATCCCACCGAATGGTCTACTCTGAGGCCGTATTCTTTAGCAGGCTGCGCGACCCTGCCATGTAAGAGTCTTTGCTCCTAACCCTGACTTCGAGTTGAGACTGGGTCTGGCACCCGACGATCTCGCAGCACAGTCAGATCAACGCTGCTTTCGTCCTGAAACAGTTCACTCGACCAGCCGCACGGGTACACAGGTCAGCCATCTGTGGTTCAGAATTCCTGAGAAGTGCTATGCCTGTCGGACCTCACGCCTCATGCCAGTCTCTCGCACCTGTAGAGCTGAGAGGTGCTCTGCGATTAGAAGGAGAGCCTGGGCAGCGAGGGCCCAAGACTTCCCAGTAATTCTGTCTGTAACAAGGCTTAGCTATGCTTAGCTGAGCTGCATTCAGCGTCGCCCCACCGCTGCCGATACTGCAGGGCCTCGCCTGGCGGGAGATGCACTTGAAGGAGAGGCCTCCAGCCTCAGACGTCTCCCGCATGCTCCTCCGCACCCGCCGCACCTCCCTCGACTCCGGCTCCGGCTGCTCGGGATCGCAGACAGCCAGCAGCAAGGATGTCAGGACTGCTGGGCCTGGGCTCTGAGCTGAGCCAACTTGGTCCTTGGTCTAACTGATATTCTCGGACGCACCTCGTCTCTGTAGTTCGCGCCTGTAAGCCTCCGCGTGCGATGGAACCCGTGCTGTGATGCAGACAGCATCCCAGAGGAAGAGGCCTCCTCAGATGGCAGTTTGTCAACGGTGAACCCAAACAACTCGTGGATCGGGGATGATCAAGGTGCATCTCGATCCAAGCATGCCCCGGCCCGCTTGCCTTTCTTGTCAGATTCCATAAGCGTGCAGCGCCCAGCATGGGTCAAAGCAAGGATTTCCAGGGACAATGAAGCCCCCAAGGATCCAGAAGCATGGCGAGGCTCCGCTTGAATTCGCACACGACAGGTTTTGCGCCTACGTTGGCGTTGGCATTCTTTATCATGCTATCATGCTTTCTAGTAGAATCCATCGAGCCGTCGGCCAGCGTCCAGAATTTCAAGGCACCACGGGCCTCCCTCAGCCTCCCTGCTCTAGCCCCCAGTGCTTGCCAGGGCTTGGACACCCCTCTCCTGCCGCGTTGTATTTTGTGCATTGCCGGAATGTGGCGCATTTTAGGGTGCTGGTATGTGCCCGCGGCTGCCAGGCAACCAGCGGAAGCACCCAGAGTTGTTCATGTGTGTGCTGCGTGCTGCATTACAGCTTCCAGCCGGCACATCACTCATACCCGACCCTGTTTGGAAACAGCCCTCCCTCAAGTGCGAAGTCGAGTGGGGCCAAATGTTAGGGACCCAAAAAGCACATAGCATAAGCTTTTTATAGGGATATCCCTACCTTATTGGGCTTCATTATAGGAGGATTTATATGGGATATCCGGATCCTAATTTTTGCTTATGTGCTTTTTTTGGGCCCTAAAATGGTGCAAATCACAGGACACTGGGACGTATCCGGCAAAGTCTGCAGGCATTAACAGGCTATGTTTGAAAAAGGAGGCCACCAATCGACAAGTATAGTTCGTGGCATTGCTTGGCTTAGCATAGCTGGCCTCGTGGCATAGTGCCTCATGGGGAGGTTGTAATGCAACTCTGCAATATCGGTAGAACGAAGCAGCTTCCTGGAGCTCAAAGGGAGGTTGGTAGCTCCTTGCTGCGTCACCCACTTAGAGCCACAGCAGACATCGACAACAGTCGAGGCCTGAAGTCACAGCATGTTTTTGTTGTAACATGTTGGAACACAGCTGTCCAAGGCTAAGGGGACGCGCACGATGCGATGAGGTCACATCATGGTCACATCAACATGGCTCTGCCATGCTCTGCCCATGTAGACGCTGATGCCATTAGACAAAAGCACATTGGTAACCAAGCCCTTCCCCATGTAGACGCCCGATTTGAGGAGAAGCACCCGCTCGAGACACACGTCTTTGGAATCATAACACATCAAAACTAGCTATTCCCCATGTATTTCACAAGCACAAACGCAAGACCAACATCAGTGGTATCACAGCACGATCAGAGTGACCGAGACCGCTGTAGCAGTGGAAGCGCTATTAGAAGAGCTGCTACATATCATGCCCTGTTTTCTCCTTGGACATCCTACATGGTACCGTGAGTGTGATTATCAACAAGCCCAAATCCCAAATGACCTGGGCCCATAACATCCGGCCTCGAATGCAAATAGACAAGACGCTGGAAAGTAATTGCTACATAGCACTGGATGACTCCAACAATATATAACGGCCACTACTGCTTCTGCTGCTCTGTTGTTGCTACACTACTACAGAGATCGCGATTCCCCATGTAAACTGCTGTAACTGCAGCTTCAGCAATCAAACCTCAACAATCCCGAACCAACGCGATCACGAATCCTCAAGTATAGTAGACGCTCGGTGATGCGAGCCCTTGGATTGCTTCTCCCATTGTGGGGCGGGATCCAAAAAGATCATGTGACTTAGCTCCGTCACCGTGCGGTGCTCTGACAGTCGCAATTCCACGCCTGTACAGTAGTGCTGCTGGTAACTGCAACTCTGTCAAACTTGGCCGTGAGAAGGCTTGGACCAATGATGTGGCGAAGGCTCCAGCAACTGTTGCTTCAACACAGCTTTTGTCGCTATCCCTACCATAGTGCCCGAACGAAAGCCACAGGACAATTCGAATATTTCGTGCAGCCAGGACATGGTGCAGACAGATGCTGACCGTAGCCGCTTACAGGTTGCAAACAATGAGCCTGCCGCAATGACGATAGGTCTGAGCCAGGTACCGGAGCTGCCTGCCCAACCCATCATACGCCCACACAAACAAAGAAAGAAACAAACGCACACTACGAGTAACAGATAGTAGCAGGAACATCAACACACACACACACGCGCGCACACACACACACAAATGCTCTGACAGAGCAGTTCACGATAGTTGGCGTTTGCAGCGGCCTTCTGAAACGTACGTTCCAGACAGTGGAATGCCTGAGCAGTTCGAGAAATGATCCGACTCTCCTACACCAATAGCCCGTCCCACACGTCTGCCGACTCGACGTGCGAGGCATCGGCACGCAGTGCAATCGTCCAGCCGGGCTCTCCCAACCTCATGGAGGTCTCATGACAACCATGACAGGTCTCGCGCCTGGCTGTCGTAGGCTTGTTGAGCTATCGAGTTGGGTCGCAAGCAAACTGCCGAAGCGGTAGCAATAGTGGACCAGTGCCTGGCACGAACTTGCTTCAAACCAAGTTGCTGCAGAGACTGGCCTACCAAGCGCCTACTGCACGTTGCATGAGCCCGCACAGAGCCTTGAAGCATAGCAGATTCTTGGCGGTCGGTGTGCCCGCAGGGTTGCTGCCGGAGCCTAGGTTACACAGAAGCAGCTCTTCATGAAACGATGGAACCAGATCTTTGAGGCTTGGGCTGGCGGCACTTATGGCCAGCTCTGCGTCACCCTGTATGCCAGAAAGCACAGTTGAGACTTTTCGTGTTCAAAAAAGACTTACGGCACATTTGCAACCTCGCAGAGACCTCGGAAACTTCGGAGTTCAAGGTGATCGTCCAACAGCAGCACGATTGAACTAGACGAATTTGACAACCCCCGCCACAGAACTGGTTCATGTAGAATAGCAAGCAACCGGTCGCGCAAGCAAACTTCCACCTGCAAATATCGAAGCAGGCGACTTGGTTAGTTCTCTCAGACATACTGGCAGCATCAGCATAATGATACTGTGTTAGTTAAACTGAACTGGCACAATGCTATCCCACCCTTGCAAGTTGAGCCCTTGCAAAAAGACGTAGAGAAGATTCGAATCACATTCGTAGTGATCCATCCTAGCCGTCCTTTTCCCCTGGGGAGGCCGATTCCACGACGGCAAAAGGATGTCCACAAAAGGCCTCCCTCTCAGCGATGTCGATCTGTTGTAGTCCTAGTTGCTACAGGTTCCCCACCCGCCGCACCCGCCCCACTTGCCCCATCAGCTGCAGGGATCTGTTGAAGCCCACATAGATCCGGCCTTGACCAATCTCCAAGAGTACCTAGTTCTCTTCGTTGCGGTGGACGTCGAAGGCGAAAAAGCGCGTGCAGCAATTTTGAGAAGCTTTATGTTGGGATACATGCTGGCCAGTGCCCAGTGCACAGCCTGTCATGGTGGGGGGCCCTCATCCCATCACCTGTGTTGCACCGCTTGTGTCCGGAGCAGAAGGCGCCTCCTGAGCCCTGTCGAATCAATACCGGCAAAGCCGCACGCGGAGATGTGCCGCTCCGCCAATTCAAGCTTGAAAGAACATGAAAGAACCAAGCCAATGGCTTCTGTTGATTTTGAGCTGTGATATGAACATCCGTCGGCCCGTGCCTCCCGGGCATGACTAGGCCAGGCATACCGCGAGAACCTCGCAGAATCTATGCAAGTTCACGATCCCGCATCCTCTGGTGGCAGCCACACTATAGCAAAGCATGCTCTGTCAACAGCAGATAGTTGGGTGGCGGACTGCAGGAGGCATGCCTTCGCACGTCTAGGAATGCATCCGATGCCGTTACAAGTGGGCGGAAGTCACTTCGCGTGGCTGGGGTCCAAACATCACGAGCTTGATCCAACGACAGCCTGCGGGTTGCAGGTGCTGTGTTGGTAACTTGCGTTACTTCTGACGAATTGGCCAATTGCTGCCACCCTCAGCCACCCTCCTGCTGCAGCAATAAAGCAAAGTCTGGAGGCAGCGGAGAGCCTCCAAAGTCGCCACAGTCCACAGTCAGGACACTTCACACGACCTATAGTACTCCCCCCGCCTGCTGCACTGCCAGTGAATCTTGCGTCCTATGGAGGCTTCAGCTCAAGCAGTGTGCCTGTGGGATCCTGTGCGTCTGAGGCTGAAACCCGTGCAGCAGCAAGGCCAGAGCAGAAAGGATTGACCTGCAACGATCGGCCCGCAATTCCATTGCATCCCGAGGCATCTCTTCCCGACTCTTCCCATCTTCTGGCGTCAAACCGATGCCTCGTCACTTCACGTCACATTGCTAGAGGTCTCCCGACGTATCGGCTGCATGTGCGCGACAGAGGCGTTCATGCATTCCGTGCTCGATTCGGTGAGGTGCTTGAAGGCGCAAGTCAAGCGCGACAGGCTCACGCCCACGTGTCCGCGAGCATTCCTTTGCAACGCTCCTGCTGACAAGAGAATGTGAAAGACTCGCAACCGTCGCTCATCAATGGGTAGCCAGATCTCCTGGTCTTGGGAGAGCTCGCTAAGAGGTGACAGGCGCCCTCCGGGGAATGGCCTCAGTTCAGCGTCTTTCGGCTTGTTGTGAGGTCTGATTCCCTTACATGATATCCGAAATTCTGAGCAGCGCTCCCGTCCGGCGTGCTCGTCGCCTGCGCCAGCCGTTCCGACAAAAAGTCAACACTCTCATGTGGTGAGGAGGCCCAGGGCCCGCGCTCGAACCATCCGCTGTTCCATTGGAGTCTCCTGAAGAACTGCAAGCACAACCGCCACGCGGATAGCTAGAAGCAAGTTCAAGTGCTGCAGCCTGCCTGCATTTGCACACGAACCTTTTCCTTTGCCTTCTGACTTCTTTTCCGGGGCAAGGCAGCCGAGCATGCCCGTGATAGACGTCCGGCAACCGCGATCCCGTTTAAGATGGCATGCGGGCATGGATCTCTCGCGAGATCGTGGCGCTTCTTCGGATAGGTCCATCCCGTCAGGACGAGTGACATGGTATGTCGCTGTACAAGATGCTGTCTCCAACTTCATCATTCAGGTAGGCAAGCCTTTGTCCGTCCTTGGGTTTTGTTCTCCGAAAACGTTCAGACAGGGGATTCTGCGTGGCTCCGGCAAGGCATGCGTATTTGCTCCTACCTACTAACACGCGATTCCATGTTTTGGTCCTGACTCAGGGCCATGTTTCAAACAATCAGGCACACACACTCACACACACTCACACACGCGCACACATGTCAACCCATTTCGGCAGAATAATGGTGATAAATACCGAGTACAACCCTTTTACTCATGCACGTCTCAGCCTATCAAGCCAGAATAATAGTGCTAAAATGTGCTAAATACCAATGCTTTCTTCATGTCGGCGATTTGAGTGGAGACCGGCAGAGAATAATACATTTCATGATTATGTTACAAGTCGAGGTCAATAAGGAAAACAATGCTGCTGCAAGCAAGGCCAACCCAAGATGAAGGACACTATCACTAGCACGTTTTCCGTATGTTGCTCAAAGATTAAACAGGTTGTTGGCCCCAATAATATCAACTTAGTAGGTTAGTCGAGGCTAAACTCTTGTAACGCCATTCCTGCCCACATGACCCCCGTAACCACGTTTAAGACGTGCCCACACCGAGTCAGCTCGGAAGAACCTTTAATCCCTAATACGATGTTGAAACTTGGTTGATGCCTGCAATATCTGCCTGAAACATCCACCTGCACAGCAGCCCTTGTATCGCTCATATGCTAAGCGCCAGATTAGCCTTACAAGCCAATCGCAGTGTACTTTCAATGGCACATCCAGCAGTGCCCGTAGTGGCAACCCGAACACTGACCTCAATGAGAATGCCTTCAACGAAAGATACTGCTAGCAGACCAAACACGAGAGTTGATTATTTTGCTTGTAATGCGAATAAAATACCTCAAACTCAACTTTTGCGCTCGATCAAAGTTAAAGCTCCGAAAGGAACCTTACGAATCACAGTGAACTCGAAGTGACTCCAACTCTACACAACGTCAACTCAACTCTAAACCTTGTCAGTAGTTACAATGGTGATTCTGATAGACTGTATGTACCCTCAATACTGGTCCCCAAAACTATCCGGAAAGGACACCGTAACCTAAGGCTCAACCGCAGGAGCAGGAATAGCATGAAGGGCTACCGCAGGCTCCAATACCCTAGCCGGAAGCCTGGCAACAATCTGAGACAACTTAGCTACAAGTAACAATAAATTCAGTATATCGCAAACCTACATTAAGCCAAGATAAAGAGAATCTATATGACACAACGTCGGAGCACCTGCAGACTGCAAAAGCCGATAACGTGGGTTCACATGAAATTTCCATACATTTTCAATATGACCCGAGTGCCCATAGCCATATCGAACAAACAAAGACTGAACCGTATTGGACAGATACAGGACCCAAGATCCACGATGTTTTTGGGGGCTCTTGGAGAGCATCTTGGGTGGCGAATAACAAGGATGACTTGACTACGCGTAAATGTGCAGGACCGAAGCTCAAACCGGTGGATTGAACTTCAATCCCAGCCTGTATTCAAGGTCCCGGATCCAAGACTGCCGGGGAGGAAGACCCCAGGACAGTCTTGGAGCAAGATCTGGGCAGGGGTTAAAGCACAATAGCTGGACTGAAGATCGACACTGGGTTGAGTTCAACTGTGCATGTGTCCACAATTTTTGAACCGCCTATACTGATATGTGCATGTGTATATGATTTATATACACAATAGATTGACAATAGATAGCAACAGAGATAGAGTGAGTGAGTGAGTGCGGTGCGTGCGTGCGTGCGAGAGGCCAGACGGAGGGCGGGAGGGAGTGAGGGAGTGAGGGAGGGGGGGAGCGAGTCTTTGAAGCTTAGCAGCTTGACCATATATGGAACTGTAGCCAGCACCGTCCCAGAAATACTCGCGGTCTGTACTCCAGTTGGCGGCCTCAGTGTGGGTCGTTTTTCAACACGGGGCTTCAGCTGCCCCCAGCGAAATCAGCCGTCAGCCAGGTGCGTCAGCTCATTTCGCTACTCTCTCCTGCACGAGGGCAGGTTGTTGATTCTGATTGTCCAAGTCACGACGACGAAGCACTTCAAGCCGTCTCTTCCCAAATATGTTTCGGACAGGTCCTGCAGAGGTTTTCTAGTTATCCAGCCCGCAGCCCAAAGGCGACGGACATGCGAAGGAATTGCCTTGCGAAACCAGCGCTCTGTCGGACCATCGGTTGGGTGCCCAACCCAGGCCACAGAGTACAAGAGGGCCCAGAGATTTGAATTCCTCGGAGACCACACTCGACCATGCTCTGACACCTCCGAAAAAAAAGGCGCTACTTGCATTGTGTCGTAGCCGGGACTCGAGTACAGCTGAGCCAAGCGGTGTATGTCATAACAAACACCTCAAGCCACATAAACATGGTTGAAAGCACAGGACAGAGACTCCCGCGTCAAGGCATCTAACATAAAACCGCGGTCTTCACACCACCTGTGGCTCCTCATACCGCATACAGTGCGATAGGTAGTCCAGCAGGGAGGAGAGGGCGAGGGAGAGAGAGAGAGAGAGAGAGACGGACAGCTTGCTATGCTGCGGTTGACAATGATGTGAGGGCCTTCCAGGTCCGGATGTCGAGCGCTGCTCGATTTACAAGAACTTAGAAAGAGTTTTGAAAACCGTGGACCTTAGTGGCACTCGTTTCATGACTTGCCTGGATCTGCTCCTGCTTCGTGCTGCTCTCTAGAAAGCCTTGAGCCATGGTGCCAATTCCAACCCGGCCGAATTCCGTCTCCACGAAGCCTGGGCTATCGCCTCTGGAAGCCCAGCTTCCATCGACGTAGTCCTCCAAAAGCGAGTTTCTCATCACTCATCGCCAGTTCTGCTCAGAGTCTCAGAAAAGCTGCAGCACTGTCCCAAAGGTGAGTTTTGCGATAGTGGACGACCTCAAAAAATCGCGCAAGCGCAACACATGATGCCACCAAACATGCAGGTCTCGGTGTCAGCTGAGATGCTACTTCTCCAGAGGGTCCAGCCAAACAAACCGTGTTGAAAAACTGGCTCTCTGCTTCTCCTTCCTTCGATTCCTCCACGAAGGGAATCGTCATGTAGACCTGCAGCTCCTCAGCTCAAGAAACGCCCCGCATTGACATGCGCAGTCATCCATCGAACTCTGGGTTCCGGTTCGTTGACAACGATTCATCCCATCTTCACTACGTCGGTGACAGGGTTCCGTCTCTGTGAGACAGACACAGGTTCTGAGCAGCTGTTTCCACAATACTTTACTGCAGGCATGGCACTTTGGCCAAGGCCACCAGCTTCTGCACTATCCTGGGGCACTCCGATGCTCTTGAAGATTCGGTCAAACGGGCAAACAAGAACCGGCCATGCAGAACATGCAATACCGACCTTCCAAGCAACCCTCTTACAGACTTCGTTCGACCCTTGCAGGCAATGAAATGATCCCAATCCAGTCCAACTTCACCCAAGCTTGTCCTTCAAGATGCAGGCTGTGCGTCAAAATTTAAAATGGCTTTTAGAGGGCTTAGCTTGGGTTTTGGCGGGGTCCATTCGGGTTTTCGAGGGTCAGATTGGGTTCAC